CTCCCCCATATTGCCATGAAAAAGAAGCTGAGAACTCTTCTGAAAGCTAATATGGAAGGTGCCATCTCAGCCTCAAAAAAGAAAGAAGGAAGGAAGGAAAGGAAGGAAAAAAGGAAGGAAAGGAGGAGGGAGGGAAAAGAGGAAAGAAGGAAAGAAGAAAAGGAAGGAAGGAAAGGAAAAGAAGGAAAGAAAAAGAAAGGGAGGAAAGGAGGAAAGGAAGGAAGGAAGGAAAGAAAGGAGGGAAAGGAGGAGGGAAAGAAAGAAAAAGGAAAGGAAGAAATAGAAAGAAAGAGAGAGAGAGAGAGAGAGAGAGAGAGAGAGAGAGAGAGAGAGAGAGAGAGAGAGAGGTCGTGGATGAGGTGCCATTACAGACTAAAGGATCTGCAACTGTGAAGATACACAGCTCAAATACACAAAGTTTTAGGCAGTGGTAGCAAGTTTGCTAAGAGTTAAAGGACAGGAATCAAAGTTTTTGTTGATCAGGAGTTAAGTCGTGACCCCATGGACCATAGCATGCCAGCCTCTCCCCACCCCACCCCCTCCATTGCTTTTTGGAGTCTGCCCAAATGCATGCCAACCTTATCTAACCATCTCTTTCTCTGCCCTCCCCTTCTCCTTTTGCCTTCCATCTTCCCCAACATCAGGGTCTTCTCCAACTCCAGAGTCCTCGTTTGGTGGCCAATGTATTTGAGCTGCACCTTCACTATCTGTCCTTCCAAAGGACAGTCAGGGTTGTTTTTCCTTTTAGGATTTTAGGAGAGGAAAAAAAGCTTCCTTAATTGAGATGACCTTAAGGTCCCTTCCATTAAGGTCCCTTCCAATTCTGTTATCCCAATCAGGACCGCAAAGCTTTGCCAAGACCAAGCAACCTTCTCTTCTTTAGTCAACATCTGGGTTTGTCCTTCTCATTCAACCATCAACTGGGGCCTGGTGGCTCAGCAGACTAAAAGCATTGTGATTAACACCAGCTGTCTGCAATTACTGTAAGTTCGAATCTCCCCAGGCTCAAGGTTGACTCAGCCTTCCATCCTTTCTAAAGTAGGTAAATTGAGGACCCAGTTTGTGGGGGCAATAAGCTGACTTTGTATAAATATACAAAAGGATGAAGGCTATTGCTTAACACATTGTAAGCTGCCCTGAGTCTCCGGAGAAGGGCGGCATATAAATCAAATTTAAAAAAAAACACAACTTATTAATATGGTTCAAAAGGATCTGGAAGGCCAGATCCTGAAGATGAAGCTCAAATATTTTGGCCACCTAATGAGAAAGAAGGACTCACTGGAGAAGAGAAGAGTCTAATGCTGGGAAAGATTGAGGGCAAAAGAAGAAGGGGACGACAGAGAACGAGGTGGCTGGATGGAGTCACTGAAGCAGTCGGATGGTAGAGGTAGAGGATGGTAGAGGACAGGAAGGCCTGGAGAAATGGATCGGACATAACTTTGCAACTAACAATAGCAACATGGTTAGCAATTCTTCAGGCCTTGTTGAACATGGAAGCCTTTTAAGGCTTTGCAACATAGCTCACCTCAACTGTGCAAAAGAGGAAAAAAAGGTGAAAAGGCCAAGACAATCTCTTTCCATAATGCAGCCAAAGACAACCACTCAGGTGAGACCCAACGGTGTTTCCCCCAAACAACTGGATCTCTCTTCCCCCCCCCTCCTTTGAAAACATTTCGCTTCTCATCCAAGAAGCTTCTTCGGCTCATTCAGCTTCTTGGGATGAAAAAGAGGAATGATTTCAAAGGAAAAACAAAGGAAGTTCAGTTGCCTTTTGGAAAAAGCACCTTTGAGATGACCATGATCTGGATAATGGAGGTGAGATGGAGATGAGTTGGGTGTTGTTGTTTTTTTCTTTGGCTGCATATTGGAAGCAGTTTGTCCTTGGCCTTTTCAAGTTTCTAGTCCAGCCTACAAGGTTGTGTGTGTGTGTGTGTGTGTGTGATTCCTTGTGGTTCCTCATCTCAGTACAAAACAGATCCAAAAACAGATTATGTTTAACATCTTCAAGGGAAGCCAATCTCCTGAATGGACGCTGTGAAAATGCAAATCAGAATTACTATGGATGGAACCCTGTCAATTAAAGAGAGAAGTGGCCCTTCTTGAGAATAGATTAGTCTGTATCGCACTAATATTGGCCATTTCAACCAGTGCAGGTCAATGTATATCTATCTAGTGCAGATAAACCTAGATTTAAAACGGGTTATAAACCAGCCTAAGATAATTAACTCTTGCTTACTGTAGGAACACAGACCTCAGAAAGATTGACTTTATATCGTACTGAAGTGGGTTTCTGGCTGCAAAGGATAATTTAAAAAAAAAAAAAACTCCTTTAAATCGAAACTTGAAGTTCACCGACTCCTAGATCCAACCTTGCCTTAGAAACACCCTTGAAATTCTAATATTGTTAACTTCCGCCCTTCCAACACTACTCAGATTATTTTTTTTGTGCAGGCAAAGACACCATTTTCATTGGGATGGACAGTTCCCAATTGGTGCCAAAAACGCAATCGTTTCCTGATTGGATCTCAACTAAAAATCTCAGGATAGATCCCAGAACACCCCACCCCCACAATCTCTTAAACTGACCTCAGAATCTCAATCCATCTTTAATGTCCCACTATTAAAATCCTTTAAAAAAAAAAAACGCTCCGTGTCCAAATTCGGCCTCTGGTAGGGAGAATAGATTAAAAAGGAGACCCTGCGAGAAACAAGAGCAGCAGTGCTCCAGCAACAAGGTTATCCGTGTTTTAAATCTAATCATGGCTTGTTTCATCAAAGCCCTTTTCAAGGTTGAAGGCTCTGGATCCCTCTCCCTTACCACCACCACCCCTCGCAGCGAGCCTGTGGGAAATCAAGGCCCCATAAAGAGGAAGCAGCGAATCGGGGGTTCCTGGAATACCAGAGACGCACACACAAAAAGGACCCCTTTAATTCTCCTCTCAATCTTTGCTTGAGAACAGAGACCGAAAGATGCCTCCCCACTCCCGAGTTTGTTTTGAGAAAAGTCGGGTTGGAAGACGGGCCTCGTCGTATTATATAGTTCACTTCTCCGGGCGCAAAATGCGCCTCGCAAAAGACCAGATCCAAAGCTGTTTCCGCAGGAGGAGGGGAAAAAATTAAAATCCACAAACGTACATTCAAAACTATTTCGAAACAATGAACTATATTCCACAATGAATCTATATTCTATATAGATTCCACCATCTATATATATCTATATTCCACAATGAACCCATATCGTCATTACCCACTTTTCATGGATGGAAATCGGAACGCGGGTCTCTTCTCTCTCTCTTTTTTAAATTTCTTTCCCTCCAACGAGGTTGTAGGTTATTAAAAGTATAAAATGTTTTCTTTCGTTGGGAAAGGAAAACAAAAAACAAAAAAACCCATCGCGGGCAGCCCAACGAAGCGCCCCCTTTTCCCCCCACAGAGTTTTAACTCGGATTATTTTTCCGAGGGAAAAAGGAGTATAGAAGTCGAGCCATATTTAAACCAGCGATTTTTTAAAAAAATTAATAATGCTCGGATCGGATCTGTCGGGGAGAAGAAATGAAAAGGAATAAATCGAAGGGGATTTCAGGGGTGCGACCCCCCCCCATTTTTTATTTTTGGTGCGCGCGCGTATGAGAATGATCGCAGTAGAAGAAATGAAGGAAGGAAGCACAGATTCGCAAGCAAAGCAGAATTCGGTTCGGGCAGAGACTTCTTGGAAAGAGAGTAAAATAAATAAAACGAACCATAACAATCGCTGGAATTAAATCCACCGTGGTCGGAATTCATTATTCCCCCACTCCACACCAAGAAGCGCAGGCCTCAATCGGCTGCGAGTTAAACCCGAAGGCTCGGCATTTTCTTCCCAAGTGAAAAAACATATAAATAAATAACGAAATAAAAGCGCAGCTCAAAGCAGCCGGATTAGCAGGAAGTACAATTTCCCTTGATGTCCAGCGGAACTACTTCGTTTAAAAAAAAAAAAAAAAAATCAATTAACGGCTGCTTTGCTTCAATTTTAGTTCCTGGGAAATGTAACTAAATAAAAATGAAAAATGAAATAAAATAAAATAAAATAAAATATTTCCAGCATTCCCATTTCCAGCCGTTTTAAAAGAACCAACTTAAAAAGAATTTGATTTTATTGAGGCCCCGCGTAAATTGGACTCTAATGGGTCGGTAGGAATTTTTATTATTATTATTATTTGGTGGAGTGGGGGCAAATAAATAAAGGAAGGAAGGAAGGAAGGAAGGAAGGAAGGAAGGAAGGAAGGAAGGAAGGAAGGAAGGAAAAGCAAGCCCGATCCGTGGTGATATCTCCCGCAGCCGTTTGGTGACGTTGGGTTTCTGAAAAGCAGAGGCTCGTTTTTGCGGCTGAAAACACGTTTTGCTCGGGAGTTTAAAAAAAAAAATGAAGGCAACGTAGAGCGCCAGTGGAAGAGTCTTGTTTTCTTTTACGGGTGGCAAAGACAACAGAAGTATAAAAAAGACAGGAAAGGATCAGGGCTGTTTTTTTTTTTCTTTTTCTTTTTGCGAGATCTTTTCGAGAAGGAAGGGGAAAGGGGAAGGGAGAGAAATCTCCCAGACCCAGATCAAAACTTTTCCATAAAAGTCAAGAGGAGGGAAGAGAGGAAAGACGAATAAATGAATAAATGAAACACTCATTTTCCCAACTCGTCCAAGGGAAAGAACGCTAGTTTCAGAAGACTGGGCCTTTAAAAGGGAATGGGGGTGGGGGATTTAATTAGCAGAGCCGTAAATCATCACCCGCTCGGTTTATCAATAATTGCAAAGCCTGAAGTCTCTCTCCGTTTCTCTCTCTCTGTTTCTCTCTCCCTCTCTTTCTCGCTGCCCACCCCGCCTTCCTCCTCTTCTCTGGCTTCTCCAAGTGCGACACTATCTGCTAAGATAAGCCCAGCCGAAGACGCGAGATAAGTTGGCTACAGAGGGAAGGAGGGTTTAAATAAGGGGGAGAAGCGGGGGGGGGGTTAAAGGACAGTACTCACGTTATTACAAATCCGGAGGAAAAACTCGCATGACGTGGGAAAGCAGGTCAAGGCAAAAAAAAAAATAATCCTAGTTGCCACAAAGGGGAAGGAAGAACGCAATCCGAAAGGTGCAAAAATAAAAATAAAAATAATTAAATGAATATTTAAAAAAAAAAATGGGAGGGGGAGAAGAAGAAAATCGGGCAGGAGCAGCCGACGTTTCCCCCTCCCTCTCTCTCTCTCTCTCCCCCCGAAAAGGCTTTTGAAGGGATCTCCGGCCAGGCGGAGGCGGCCGTCGGGGCTGTTATCTCAGCTGCGCCCAGCGAACGCGCCTCCAGCTCCGCTCGCTCCTAATCTCGGCCTTCGAGTGATGCCTTCATCGGCGGCTCGGCCCCTTTACAGCTGGCGGTGGGGCCGCGTCACGTGACCTTCCCCCCCTCCCCCGGTGAGCCAGACCGTCCAGGGGAGAGTTGGGGGTGGGAAAGAAAAGGGGGGGAGCGATACCTGGCGAGGGAGGGGAGGAATTACAATTTATTTTTCATTTGTAGGATGGATGGCAATTTTTCTTTCTTTCTTTCTATCTGTCTGTCTGTGTCTCTCTCTCTCTCTTCTCCCTGCCTTCCCCCCTTCCCCCAAGAGTCAGGAATAGGTGAGTAAAAAAAGTTCCTCGGTTACTCATTAGGACTGGTTGCCAATCAGCACGCCCCCTCCCCTCCCCTCCCCTCCCCTCCCCCCCACGAGAGCATTTCCAGAGATTTCCCAAAGTAAAGTTCGCGTCGGGAACTTCAGCCTTCCCCCCTCTCTCTCTCTCTCTCTCTCTCTCTGTCTCCCTCCCTCCCTTCCTTTCCCGGCTTTTCTTTGCTGCCTGTTGTTTTCAAAAGAAGGGGCTGGGGGCGCAGGAGCCGGAGGGGCCATCCTCTCCGAAAGCTATTTTATTTTATTTTATTTGGGAATGTGGCCGGTGGAACTCCCGGAGACTTTTCTCCTCCTCCCCCCCCCCGGATAAACGGTTTGGGATCGGGTTGCGGGTCAGAGAAAAAAAACTCCTGTTAAGCGCCCTCGGACGTTTTTTATCACGGCGGCCTTTTTACACGTCTACTCGGAAGTAAGTCGTTTGGTTTCGGTGAAGTAAAAGATGGATCCTTTTCGTCCTCGCTGCAGCCTTCCTATTTGTTTTTCCTTCTTCCCCCTTTTTTTTTCTCCTGGGGTCTTGTCTTGATGTTTTCATATTTCCCCCCCTCTTTTTTTTTTCTTGCGTGGCTTGTAATTGTTTCCATTTCTTGATTCGATAAGAATAAAGTTTATTGAATAAAGAAACGGAACTACAAACTATGGCAAGAAAAAAAGGATAAGATAATAAGCTCTTTATTCTTTTTTCCCCCCCCTTTCCAGTCCCTATGCATCAAATCTCGCACCAATTGTTTCTCCTGCAAAAGAAAAAGTAGATTGAAGCCGATTAGCTAAATCAACCGGCGGGTAATTTTATTTTATTTTTGAACAGATTAACAGCCCTCTTCCCAAAATACTGAGACGCCTAATAATCCGTCCGGAGTTCCGTTTTGGGCCCTTCAGTTGGTCTACAACATTATAAGCAGTTTTGTCTTCAGGAAATCAACTTTTCTGAGCTACATTTGACTTTACTTCTGGAAGTTGAACCTGGAGAGGTACACAAATGTTGTGTCGAAGATGAAATCCGGAACAAACATTTCCAAATTGCTCCCTTCCACCATAGAGACGGAGAGAGTTTGTGTATTTTGATTTAAAGAGGAGGATAGTTGGGGGGGGGGGGGATGAAAGAATTCCCACCAGTTTCTTAGGGAATATTCACAAGTATACTTACGGTAGCGCAATACCAGTTTTTTTCGCCCCATTCAGTGCCGCGATCCTACGCAAAACTTACACCTTCTCGTGGATTGCGTTCCGACAACACCGTCCCACCTGATCCATTGGTAAGCCGCTGCATTCACATACACAACCCAGTTCGTTTTGGGCGGGGGGGACCCCCGTAAAAAAATGGGTTTAGTTTGGTAACTCAGAAGAAGTGGGTTACTAAAACGGATTTTGCCTTAGGCGTCTTAGCAAAAGGTAGAAAGAAAGGTAAGGCGGAATTCGCGGCAGAAGTTTCGGGCCTCTACGTATTGTTCGACTTTGCTTAACTTTCAGAATTTGGACTCTATAAATCTCTTGAAAATAAGGAAGCGCAACCCAGCGGGTCCAATTTCCAGAAAACCCCCTCGAAGGTGCTTTAATTAAAGGCGGGCCTCTCTCCTTGGCAACCAAACAGACCAGGATCGACCAATATCGACCCAAGTTCGCCTTCAGGGCCCAACTTCACGGCGTGGGGGTGTTTTTTTTCTTTTTTTGGGGTGTGTGTGTGAAAGGCTGCTTCGCGTTTTCTTTCCAAGAGAGTTAAATTCGCTTTCCGACACAGGGGAGCGTCTCAAAGGCCTTGAAAGGTGCCTAAGGAGCTGCCCCGGGGAAAATAGGGTGACAAACCAGGATTGTACAAGGTTGAATGGCCAAAGATTGCGGGGTAAAATAAAAAAGCCCCCTAAACCCTCTTTTTTCCCCCCTTTCTCCTTCCCCAGACGGCCACCTTAAACAAACTTAAGGCCTTTTATTGACGATCGTGGCTACTAACAAGGTTAAAACTGCCATAGGTTACCTTCTCTTGTAGGTAAAATCAGGCCGAAGAAGACGTCCAAGATTTTCGCTGCTCTGACGAACCGTTGAGGCTCAATCCTAATGTCTCTGTTGAATGCGGGCTCCGTCCCGCGGATTTTGTTTCCCCGCAGATGGTGGGGGCGGGGGCTACCTCGGAAAGAATGGGCTTCGGCTTCGAATCGGATCGCTTGTCTTAACCCGGTTTAAAGGGGGTGGGCAGTCTTAGCGAAGTCTGGGTGCTCCACCACAGGAGGTTTTTAACGAAGAGATTGGACAAAAGCTATTTATCTGAAACGTTATTGGGTCTCGGGGTCGAGCGGGGTGGAGGGGTGGGCTGGATGACCTCCCAGGGTCCCTTCCAACTGGTATTCTGTTAAGAGTTAGAGGTTAAGCGGAGTCAAACGCTTCAGCTTGCTCATCGACTCCCAGACATTGTATGAATTGAGTTTATGGTTTCATAAATGCTACTGTAACTAATAGTACTGCTACTATAGTAATTATATTACTATATACGAGAGTTAATTGGGTTTTTTTTGTCCCCTTTGAAAAAGTTTCACTTCTAACAGAACTGAAGATGCTTCGGTTCTGTTTTCAAAGGGGGAAAAAAAAACTCCAAGAAAGGTTCAGTTGTCTTTTCGAAAAATTACCTTTGGGACAACCGTGACCTGGATGATTGACAATCTCCAAATATAGACACAGATATAAATATATAGGTATAGATGGAGATACAGCTATTTAGATACAGGTGTGTGTATATACTATATAATATTTGTATACTGTATATAGTGTACAGTAGTGGCCAAAATTGTGAAAACCTTTTTGGGAAAAGTGTATTTCTGAGGTTTGATGGCTAATAACACAACTTTTTTTGGGGGGGGGGAGTTTCAAGATAATTATATTCCACTGCTGGAATGGCCTGGGAATAGCCCAGACCTTAACCCACTTGAAAATCTATGGACCCGTCTAAAGAAACTTGTTAATCAGAAGCGACCCAGCAATAAAACCCAGTTAATAGAAGCCATCATTCAATCTTAGTTTCACATTTTAAGAGCTGTCTGGTTCACTCCATGGGAAGACGTTGTAAGGCCGTAATTCATGCTAAAGGTTACCCAACTAAGTATTAACTGACATAATTTTTGTATATCTCATTTTTTCTATGTGATCATTTTTCTATATTTCATTTTTTTTCTATGTGTTTCACTTTTCTTCTGTATATGTAACTGCTATTCTAATAGCAAATCCTTCATAAAAGTTATTGCATTGCATTCTTGATTAAATTCTCTTTCCATTGATATATAATGTTATGGTACTACTCCCTCCCTTAAAAAATGGTGTTATTAGCTAGTTTTAGAAAATACACTTTTCCCAAAAAGGTTTCCACAAATTTTGGCCACTACTGTATGTTGTATGTATACACTATATAGCCAAATCTTAGTAATACTAATAACAGCTCATCGACCCCTTGGATAAATCCATCAATCTTTGGATTGGGATATTGTGTGTGTGTGTGTGGGGGGGTGTCAATTCAAGAGCCTCGATAGCACAGTGGTCTAAGCACCCTGTTATTAACACAGCTGCCTGCAATTACTGCTGGTTCGAATCTCTCCAAGGCACAAGGTTGACTCAGCCTTCCATCCTTTCTAAGGTAGGTAAAATGAGGACCCGGTTTGTGGGGGCAATAAGCTGACTTTGTATAAATATACAAAAGGATGAAGGCTGTTGCTTAACGCATTGTAAGCCGCCCTGAGTCTCCGGAGAAGGGCGCCATATAAATCAAATTTAAAAAGAAAATTCTTTTTAAGAATTTTAAATTTTAAGAATTTAAATTTTAAGAATTAGGGTTCTCCATTCTTTTTAAGAATGGAGAACCCTAATCTACAGGCAAAGCTGCCCATTTATCCAAGTTCTCCACTAGCTTCAACGCAGTTTACTCTCCAGGACAGGCCAATAGAAATGCGTTCCGAATAGAGGCGAAACGAGAGATTCAACTAGAATCCAAGCTGGGAAATTTAGACTTTAAACCTCTGCGGTCCCGTTGACCGACCCAGATTAGATCCTGCAGCATTATCCCAAGACATGTATCTTCTACATTCACTTAACCAAGATGGTCGTGTGAAGACCAACAAACCCTCTGGCCCTCAATTAACCCGGTGAACTGGACTTGGGGGGGGGTGTGGGGGTGACACAAGTAAGTGACTAGCCAGATTGCATTGCGAAAATTGACCCAAGGCCAACCCTGCCGCTAATCCTTCAGACATGCAAACGAGGATCTTTTTTTTTTTTGCAAAGGGCAGAATTGCCAACCGCAGATCGCCCGGATCCCTCCCTTTTAATTGGGATCCATTAACATTAACAGCTGCGGCGGCGGCGACGATTTGCGGCCTTGAACCCGGCTTAAAAGTTCAAAATAAACAAAAGGCATTCTTTGTTTCCCGAGGTAGTTTTGCCAGCAGCCGAGATGCCTCGATTGGGCGGCCAATAAATTATAAAATAAATAGAACGATAATGGGCCAAAGGGATTCCTCTCCCGCCCACTCTCCGCCTTAAGCGTGGATTACTACACAATAAAAGGAATTTCCATCGTTAATTAAATGCGGGCTGGCGGTTTCTAGAGCGCCGGGGCAAAGAATCATTGCTTTTCCAAGCCAATCGCGCCTTCGCTTCCTTCTCCCCCCCACA